TATAATAAATATTAAAAAAATAAATTTAAATAATATTATGAATAAATTTTTAAATAAAAAAAATCAATTATCGCATTTTATAATTATAAAGAGGGCGTAATGCTGAATTTCTTTCTATCCGCCGCACTATCACTATCTATTTTCCCAGCGGCGCGCACGCAAGACGATTACCCGTGATGAAATGAAAAACCAAAAACCGCCGCAACTACTCCAGCATTACATTTATTACCGTCGGATTCGAACGGACAAGATTCCTCATTCCTGTACCCCTCACAATTCGGACACAGATCCGGAAAAATAAAAAATAAAGTAAAGAAAATAAATAAATATAGAAATGCAGGGCAAGCAAAGCATGCTTCCTTCCCACTTCCACCCTTCAGAGATTCTCTCATTTATTCAAATTAATTTGTAAATAAATCCACTCCAGATTACAGGTATCCCACATTTCCATCCATGGAGGTAATTAAGGATATCTTTAATTTGGTTGTCTATTTATTTATTTATTTTTTTGCAGAGGATGGAGATGAGGAAGAGGAAGAGGAAGATGGAGGGAGCATTGTGGTTGCTGGTTGTTGTAGTGTTAGCGGTTGTGGTGGCGCCGGCGGAGAGTGCCGGTGACGTGAAGATATGGCCGATGCCGGCGTCGGTGAGCTCCGGTAACAAGAGGCTTCACTTGAGTAAGGATTTTGAGCTGTTGACTCAGGGGACTGGCTACAATGATGCTTCGGGGATATTGAAGGATGGTTTCTACAGGATGCTTGCTGTGGTCAATAATGGCCATGTCGTCGACGGTAATTTCTCCGATAAGTCATCCCTGCTCAGCGGATTGCACGTTGTGATTTCATCTCCAAACGATCAGGTAATTACATTTCCTTCTTCGAAATTTCAATTTTGTGTTTTTGATATTTCGGGCATACTTGGAAATTTGCTTTGCAGTTACAATATGGCATTGATGAGTCCTACAAATTAATGGTCCCTTCGCCGGAAAATCCAGCTTATGCCCACCTTCAGGTATTTCCGATTGACCCATTTTTCTTCTTTGGTCAATGCTTCTTTTAGTAATACTCAATTTCAGTTGTCGGCGACATACTGGCATTTTTCCTAATTATCATGTAGTTGGGTTTTTGTTGAACTTTTAAATTATTCTAGTTTAGCTTTGATATTTTCAAAGATTTCGTTAATCTATTCTAAACTACTCTGGGATTTGTCTGACCGTGCTCAGTATAATTTACTATGTTTGATTCTTTAGGGAAAAGGAAAATGCTTTTTTGGGATTAGGTCTGTACTTGTTGGATCGCATATACATATTTTACAAAAAAATTAATTTTCCTTTCCTTTCCATTTCTTCTTTCATTTTTGATATTGGGAGAGGAGGAATTTGAACCCATCTAAGGATGGGGGGCATGCAGCTTTAGTGTTAGGCTACGAATCCTTTTACAAGAGTGTTTCTATGGTCTATTTTCATTGAAAAGCATGGAAGCAAATAAAGTTGGATCATCTATTTGGTATTTTACATGATAAAAAATACATTGTGCAAAATACTTGATATTGTCGTGAATTGTTACAAGGATATTGTCCTCACACAGGGAAGTTTGCTACCATTGTTGGATCTTCTTTGGTAAATTTACGTTGGAAATTTTAACATGTTTCATGTATGGACATTAGTTCTCTGTTACCTGACCTCAAAGCAAAATGCATGATTTCAATGTTTGTGTTGTGCTTGATGGGTGTGTTTGCATCGTGGGGCAATGGGCTGGATACTATCTATGTTTGATTAATTTATAAATTGAGTCAGCTCAAATTTATTGTGAAACAATGCAGGCAAATACAGTTTATGGAGCTTTACATGGGCTTCAGGTTAGTGCAATAAGTTTACAAAGCTTTCCTGTATTTTGTTATTATTAAAATTTTCAAAATTCCTAACATATTTTTGTTATTGATTATTGCAGACATTCAGCCAGTTATGCCATTTTAACCATAAAAGCAGAGTGATTGAAGTTTATATGTCACCTTGGACTATTACTGATCAGCCAAGATTCTCTTATCGAGGCCTCTTAATTGGTGAGCTGCTGTTTATGTTCCCCTTCTATCATTCTATGACATCTTTAAGTGATTGGTCACATGGATTTCCTTGGAAAATATGATGATTATTGCACAATTGGTGAGTTGTTGTTCTCTGGTAACTATTATAATTGTACTTCTGCTTGAGTCACAAGGAAGCAATCAAGGAGTTAAGTGGGTGTATTAGTTTTAGCAGTTAGCCCTTAAAACTTAAATTGCATATTATTTTGGTACCAATTTTGAACATTTTACATCTTCAGCAGCCAGAATGGTGAAGGGTTTTGTTGATAGTAATTAAACTGTTGATCTGCATAAAGTTGATTAAAGGATAAGTTTTCTAATGTTATTGGTTTTTGGAATTGGCTGCGCACTGGGCTCGTAATCTGATTGTTTGACTTAATTAAGGTCCTTTTCCTTTATGTGTTCTTTACTGAAATTAATATCTTGCAGATACATCCCGTCACTATCTTCCTTTGCCCGTCATTAAGAATGTTATTGATTCCATGACCTATGCAAAGCTGGTATGTAATACAATCCCAACAATTATGTACTTCTATTTTCTCTATCATAGTCAGCATCCCTTTGCACTATGCATAATGAGTACAACATATGGCATTGCTTTTAAATTCCTTTATTTTGAAGTATGAGTCATTGTTCATTTTATGATTATGACTTTATTTTCAACAAAGGCCATAATCCTTTGTATATATGACTAAGTATAATCTGTCCACCTTCCAATGATTTCTCTCTCAAGAAAGCATCAAAATGGAGTTGTAAGCATGAGCATGAGCCATCTACTGTACAACTTTGTTTAACTAGGATAACACTCCAACTCAGTGAAGGAGCTCAAATGTAGCCCAAATAACCTTTTTTTTCTTTTTCATATAGATAGAAAAGGTTGAAATATATGGACTTATCTTAAACACTAACTGGAATGATATTGTTCATATGCATAAAGTAGCCCCAGGGGCATCATGTCGTTGGTAATTATTTACTGGAATCAGCTGCCTTTCTGGAGGTGAGGTAAAAATGGTAGTTTTTAGGGTACATTCCTAAGGCACATTGGGAGGTGAGGGAAAATTTTCTTTCCTAGAGATTTTTGTGTTTTGGAGCATAGATTCTTAATCATGTGGATATCATTGTGATTTTGTATCTTCGTTGCATCCCAGCAAGCTTTTGCATTCATAATTGACTACTGAAGATGTTATTTCAGGTTAACTAGATTCCGTATTTATTAGTGCCATATTTTGTTTGATGAAAATATGAAATTGAATCCTCATATTCTGAGACAATGATGCCTTTAAATTAACATTTATCTTGCTGCTTGCCTTCTTACCTGCTGTTGATATTATCCAACCAGTCATTTTTTTCTAATCCAAATATTGCTAAAATTCCTCATATTTTACTTGCAGTTGCAGACATTTTCTAACATCATTGTACAACTGTATGCAATAATATTTTCTGCTTGCTTTCACACAGAATGTATTGCACTGGCACATTGTAGATACCCAATCTTTCCCGTTGGAGATACCTTCATATCCAAAGCTGTGGAATGGTGCTTATTCAGCCTCAGAACGATATACAATAGCTGATGCTGCTGAAATTGTGAGGCAAGTGCTTTTGCTACTTGGTTGCACTGAAAGAATACTTATTTTCCTCATACTTCTTTTGTTCCTGATATGGTTGTTATCAACTGTTGCAGTTATGCCCAAGAACGAGGGATTAATGTAATGGCTGAATTGGATGTCCCTGGGCATGCATTCTCCTGGTAGTGCTAATTTTTCTAGTCATAAAGCAGTGTTAAATTTTGTTGTTGGTGCATAGACTTCCTATATAGTAGATGGAAATGTTCAATTCTAGAGGAAATGTTATTTTACTTTTGTTCATGGTTGTTGTTCCTTGGTATTTTTCACTCGCACTCCTCAAGATGATCTGTCCATCAGTGGTGATAGTAACTAAAATTAGAGATTTTTGCCATCATTCAATAAATTGTGAACTTGTGTTTTTCATTCTTTAGGGGGATCGGCTATCCTGCTTTATGGCCGTCAAGTGACTGTCAGCAGCCACTTGATGTCAGTAATGAATTCACTTTTCAAGTGATAGATGGAATTCTTTCAGGTGATCTCATTGGCATAAAAACATAAATGACTGACTCTGCATTGGGTTATATTTCTTCCTTCCAATAAGTATATTTTCTTAATAAAATCTACAAAAATGAAATTAAATTAATGTTATTGATATTTATTTTTACAGATTCCGGCTCATTTGGGAGGTGATGAAGTTAATACAAGTAAGTTCAATGTGCCTTGTAATACCCTTACAATAAGTTCAATATACTTTCTAATGCTCTTACAGTCTCACTGATGTAATGATATTTTGTCATGATTATGGTTTATGGTGCTACAATTGACATTTGATGCTAGAGATTGGTTGATTTTTTTGGTATATTTGATGAGTGGACTGTACAAGGAGGAATAGAATAGTTATAGTCCTCTCCTTTCACAAATCCCTCCCAATTTACCTCAAGTTTCGAATTCGAGATCTTCAACTTGCAGTCTAACCTTTTATCAGTTGAGACGCTCTTTGGGGACTAAAGAATAGTTTATTGAAGTATATATATATTCTCTACCAATGTTCATTAAAATCTGACATTCTACTGATAAGAAAAACAAACCATAGATATTCTTTTTTATTTCCCTTTTTTGTCTCAACTAAAGTTTATTTGATATTTTCTTCATCTTATAGAAATGAAAGTGTCTTTGAGGGTTTTCCTAAACTTATATAGAATGTCAATACAATTTAATATTTTAAACCAATAATTTATTAACATTTGAATTCACTATTAATTTCAGGTTGCTGGACTGATACTCCACGCATAGGCAAATGGTAAGACTATTAGGATCTTTACAAAACACTATCTGAGTTAAACGTAAAGGGCTCATTTGGTTAGAGGGTGTTCATATTCCTTGGTTAAACAATAAAAATAAAACATAGTTAATAAACTACATTAAGCCTAAATATTTATAATTTTTATTAAGATTAGGTGAGAAATAAGGAATACATAATATATAGGGGACATTTTAATTCATATTCCTTACTCATGCCTTAATTTAGTTGTAAATTATCAATATTAAGGGGTAAGAATCCCATATTCTTAAGGATGTTTCTCAATTTTGTCTTATTTTTACAGTTTGACCAATGAATAACCACTCCTTCCAACCAGAATGTAAATTACAAGATCCTCCCCAAAATGGTCTATGATCATAGTTTCCCTAAAATTTTGAAAAAATGCCAACTTCCCTAAAAACCTGCATTTCTCCCTCTTAAAATGCCTAAATAGTAAAGACTTACTCATACATTTATTCACCAAGATGGTAATTGTCATAACTCAAATTTTTAATAGAATCTTAATTTTATTGTTATTTTCAGTCTTATTTTACTTTTATTTTATTTTATTTTAACTAATATGTTTTGTCTTTATTTCCCTTTTAGGCTCACAAACAAAAGGAGAATTGGAAAAGGAAGATGAAGGAGTTTAAAATGAGAGACTTAATTGAAGAAAGGGAAAGTTGGAGGGTTGAAATGCAAAGTTAAAAACCAAAACCCAAGGCCCACCAAATTTCTCAAAACCCAAAATCCAAAAATCCACAATATTTCAAAACCCAAAACCCACAACCCAAAATCAAACCCAAAGACCCAATCTTCCCAAAACAAAAAAAAAAAGAAAAAAGAAAAAAAGAATTTAAAAGTCCTCTCCCGAACATTCATCCATTTTTTTGGTCAAACCTTCAACACCCTCCTCTCCCTCTCTCCCGAATCCCCCATGCTTCTGCTAGCAACCAGCAGCCAGCAACCTCCTCGCCTCCGTCCGCCGGCGATGGAGCTTCGCATGCCCAAAACATTTTCCTCACCGACCCATCTTCTCCCTTCCCTCGGTTTTCTTTTCTTCCTTGCACAGATCCCGGCCATCCCTTTCCCGCTATCTGGAAGCTTGGGTTGCCGACAGCCGTGCAAAAGACCATCCCCACGAGCCACCATGACCCACGCTGGCGAGTGAGCATCGGAACCAGAGAGAGGAAAGCCATATCTACCAACCAGCGATGGCGGTGGTGTGCACGCGGAGCTTCGACGAGTTGGCAAAATCCCGATCTCCCTGCAACTGGAATAGATTTACAGAGGAAATCTATGCACGAGTGGGTGACGACCGGATGAATTGGGCGTGGATTTAAGGCCCAAATGCATTTCGCAGAGTTTGTAAAAAAGGTAAAGACCAGAGAGGCCCAAATGCATTGCAAAATTCTGGTGATTGGAGGAGCCCAAAACCATGGACACAGAAAAGCCCGGAGAGTGATTTCTGGAAGGTTCCTGGTTGGGATTTTTAGGGTTTTT